CTCAGGGCTCAGGCAGGACCAGCACCTGACAGCCTCCAGTGGGATAGTCAATGCTTCTGGGTCTTCACATCTCATTCCAAGATTAAAGCAAGTGACTCAGCCAGATAGTTCGATGACCAATACTGATTAAGTGCCAAGGAATTTATCCTCAGTGGCGGGGAAAGGAGATACAGTGATCAATAAGACTGGCACAGTCCTAGCCGTTGGATTCTGGTCTAGTGTGAAAAACCAACATGGAACAAATGGCTTCAATATGTTCACATTAACAGTCTCTGTCACCCCTGTGTTAGCTCTTTCTATGTATGGAGCAAGGGGCCAACGGTTCTTCTTATTCACCCATAAGAAGTCACTCGTGCCAAACCACATATTTTACTGAAAAAGATAAGAGGGGGTTTATCTCACAGGAAACACAATTTCACTCCAAACCTCCCTACTCGATCTGTCTTCCCAAGTCTCTTGTGGTGACACATAAGTCCTCTTGTTCGACCCTCCTCCCATAGACCCTCTAACCCTCTGTAGCTCCAGTCCTCCATTTCCAAATCTTTCCCTGAGTCTCCTAATCCCTTCTGCCCTTTCTTAGGTAGGACAAATTAGTTCTGTCTCAGCTCTTTCTAATTTACATAGCAAAAATCTTAGCAAGCAAATTGCCCACCAATTACCAAGAATTTTTCTCATGGAAAAGTAGGGGAATGTTTACATAATAATTTTGATTGTCCTCACCTACCTGTATGTCTGTGGTCCTCACCTCATTTGCTGCTGCCTCCGTAGCATTCCCAGTTGGTTTGGGAGCTCTCAAGCACTTGTGAAGGCCTGGCAGTCACCAGGGGCTGTCCTCCATCTTCTTGGGTTTGGGGCTTAGTGCCCTGTGGTATTCCCATCTGTTGTGGATACCTTTGCTGCCTACATAGTTGAGTGAAGGGGTGTTGGCTCTGCTTCCAGGGACAATAGCCACATGGCCTTTCTTTTAGATAGAGCTGCCACTTCCATAGCTCTGATTATAGTCTTGATTCCCCCGGAAGTACCAGAGCAGAGCCATAGAGTATGGTGCCCTCAGTGTGCTGAAGCACACTGGGTCTGTACACAGGATAAGCTGACACTCTCCCACCCCATTTGCCCTCACAGGGGGTTGTATGAATACCAGAGGAGTATTTCCTTGTTGCTCATTGCCTGTTGTGTTTGAGAAATAAATTCTGTTTTATTTTATATAGTTTAATGTTATTTTAAAGCAGGGGTGATAGTCAAGAGCATAAATCCAGCCATTCATAATGGACCTAATGTATAACATGATCCATCAGATTGGCTACTGGTAAACAGATGAGATAACCACACAGGAGCATCTTGGCATAATATTGGCCCTGTTCTGGATGATCAGAACATGAATCTGTAAAAGCTACAGGTGGAGGAAGGTGGGGACCAATCTTAGTTATAGTTGCCAAGTTGTCCATTAATTTTTAAGAAAAGTTTTCTCCCTTTTTCCTAAACTGAAGTATTGTTGTAAGTAATATAGCCAAGTGGGATATGATTGTGAGCTTCACATTTAAATAGACTGAGGGTCAAATTCCTGCTTTGCCACTTAAGAAATCATAGATCTTGGTTAGTTAACGTCTATGTGCTCAGTTTCCTCATCTGGAAAATGGGAATAATAATATATTCTATTATATAATTATGAGGGTTCTAGAACATTTCATAAAACTATTTTTAAATGTTAAATAATACTAGGTGTTATTATTGTACTATGTTCTGGTGACTAACTCATTCTTTAGAATGAGTTGTGCTTCCCCTGCTCCCCAGTTCCTTATAATATCTATAGATTCTGGGCAAACGTGCTTAACAAACACGAGGGATGTGGCCAGCCATGTAGTAACCAGATGGAGAATCAGGAAGTTGTACCAATGAAGTAATTAATTAGTTCCTTTGCTCATTTGTTTATTCTTTCATTTCTTCAAACAATAATACAGGGGGAATCCATGAAGAAAAAGAGATCACTGGCGAAGCTCACAGCTAAAGAGGAGACAGACCCCAGAAAGGAAACAATTAGGAAGTAGGCTGAGAAGTGCTGTTTTAGAAGGATAAAGAAGGTTTTTGAAATTCAGTGAGAAAGCCACTTATTAGGCCTGGAGAAATTAGGAAAGTTTTACCAAGAAGTAACAAAGACTAGTTCTTTGGTCATTAAGTTTTGGTATAAATGGTGCTTGGTCCCATTAAAATTTCTTAATGACCAAAACGTTTAGGTCTGTTACAGACAGGAGGCCAGAACCTTCAGGCCTACATTTCCTTATTCCAGAGTTTTAATAGTGCAAATAAAGTACAATGTTTTCAAAATCTAGCTACCTCAGAATGTAATTTAAGAGAACTGTTTAGTTCTTTAGAATTTTTTAAACCTTTTTTGGAGGTGTGGTAGAAGAATTTTTTTTTTAACTGGCCTATTCTTTATAGTAGTCCCTGAATTTTAATATCCCCTGAATTGTGCACCGTTTCTGAAAAATCATCCACAACCAACAGCGTGGCAGCTCCTGGCCCTGAAAACATACCATCTCGAGTGTGTCAGGATCCTTAAAAGCATCTACTGTCTCTCAGCTGGAGTTCCAAAGAAGGCATCCCTTCTGTGCATTCCTGCATTTTCTAATTGCTTAAAATTGATCGTCAGTCATTTTTCCAGATTGATAGTAGGACTTCCAGTGTTATAATTTCTGGTTGTTTTTGTTTTTCTGGAAAAACAAGGAACCAGACTTGATAGCTTTTTTCTGCCTCCTCGCCCCCCTTTTCTAAACTTGCTCTTCAGGCTTCCCTTTCTTAGTTGTCTCCTACCCTCTTGGGAGACGATGCCTTCCTCATTTTTCATATATTCAGGTTGGAAAAGTTCATGTGGATGAGCAGACTGAGACACATAGAGACACACAGTGGAGGGACACATTTTTAACAGTCTCGGCTGTTTGCAAACACAGGAGCACTTTAGTAGACTGTTCCACTCATCCCTTAGGCTTCTGCCAACTTTCTGCTGTATTTAGTTCTTAACAAAACACTTATAGGTGTCAGGTTTGGACTCTCTCCTTTCCATGGATAATTTTCAAATCAAGCAACGTTGGAAAATGTTCTTAGATAGTCTGTGCTTTGCCAGTCCATTTAATCCTTGTGACTGTGGGTTCTGGGTTACCTGCCACTTTGTGTGTGTGCGTGCGTGCACACGTGCAGGCAAAGGATTGAGTCACTTTGGAGGTGTCAAATGGGTTTCCTGACCCTTAATCTCTTAGGTACCGTGGCACCCTCCACTTCAGGACTGTGTCAATGCAGCTGGAGCCCTTTCCAAACTGTTTTCATTCCTCACAGAGGTTTTCAAAGGCAGGGTCGCCCAGTGGTTAGAAATACAAGCTCTGAGTCAGTTTTCCTGGGTCCACATCCCGGCATCACCACCTGCTAGCTACGTGAATTATGACCACTTAGCCTTCCTGGGACCCAGTTTTCCCATTGATAAAACAGGTCTAAACATAATATGCATGTCTTAGGTTGTAATGATTAAATGAGATAGTGCGTAGTGCTTAACCTGGCAAGTAGCAAGTGTCATTATTAACTGTTACACCGGAGTGACCTGTCACCCAACAGGGAGGCACGCAGTAATACCAGAGGAGGCTGCAAAGGTGGTTCAAGGAGTTGTGTGTGTTTGTTGGTTTGTTTTTTGCTTTGGCATAATTTGCTTTCATCTTTGTCCCATTAGAAATTTTTTAATTGGTATAGAAAGAATACCATGAATCATCTCAGGAAGAGTCCCCCCCGCCCCAGGTAAAGCACATTTTTTCTGAAATTTGTTTTGACCTCTCCTCTAGCTTCTTCCAAAATTTCCATCTCTATCCACTACCGACCTTCACCCACAGCCCTGCTCCGATTCTAGGGCGCGGGACATGACACCTGTGGCTTTTGTTTTTACACCAGTTGAGAGGCTCTGTTGCCTAAAATGCCCCTAGTTCCTGATGAAAAACCCTACTTATAGTTCATATTTTCTGCACACACTTAGTAAAGATCTCAAAGATGTACCCTAAGTTCTATAATTATCACCTGTTCTTTATGTTTGACTGGTCCCATTGTTCAGATGTTTCTACTGTGTGTAAGAGAAATCACCTTCTGATCATTTTTCCTTCTTTCTTAATAAAACCACTGAGACGTCACCTGCACAGCCCTTTGCCTGCCAGGGGCACACCTGGCATATGCTTATTCTCAGGTGGCTTGTCTCCGCAGCCACGTGAGGACGTATGTGGAACTTCCACACCAGTGTTAAAGACAACCGCAGCAACACTAAGGAGGTCCTTGTGAAATATATGATGAGGATGTACCACAGGAATTAATAATTCTCAGGGTGCTGTTTTAAATTGTAACCACATTGTTTTTGTAGGGAAGTTGCTCAATTTATATCCACAGAACACAAAGAGCTGCATTCTGATCAGGGCACCAGTTTCATTTAAGAACTGATATATCCCCAACAGATAATTCTGTTTAAAATGCACATGCTGTATTGCCCTGAATGACAAATTATAGTCATTTTCTTGCTAATTGGATCCTCTTTGAGTATTCTTTCTACCTCTTAAAAGTCTTAAGTGACTACAATGAAAGGATATTATGTCTAGAAATGGTTTTTAATATACTTTCCCTCAAAGTGGAGATTACATTTTTTGTATAGAAATTTTAATCATTACACAGATAATGTCATTCACTCTTAAAAATAATTTTATTAGACTTTATGCTGATTTTCTTCTTAGGGTTCTTAAATTAAACAGTGACTCTGAAAACATCCTGCGAGATGGCTAGCTTTTAGTAGGTCAGCATGCACACCAAAAGTGTATTAAGGTGGACTGCTCTATTTATTGATTTTCCGTGAATCGGCTAAAGGCTCAGGGCAATTGTCTGCCCAAGGGGCGGGAGGGCCATACATGATCGAGGTCATGCGCATCTAGCCAATTTGTAAGACGATCCGCCGCCCTAAGCCATCAGCAATCCTTCGCATAGGGGCACACTCATGCATTCCTGTCAAGTCATCTTGTGAAAGGCAGCCGGCTTCCAGCTTGGCTTGGATGTGCAACCTTAATAAAACTCACTGAGGTCTGGGAGAAAATAGCAGATCTGCAGCAGATAGGGTAGAGGAAAGGGTCTAGAATATGTACACGCAGCTGACTCAGGCAGGCTCCACGCTGAACAGTCACACAGGGAGGAAACAATAAATCTCAGCTACTATGCAATAAATATCTCAAGTTTTAACGAAGGAAAAACTATCATTACAGTGAAATAAAAAAAATAACATTTTAGAACAAAGCTAACAAATGGCTAGTTTTCTATGATTCTTCAAACGCTTCCTTTGAGGGGGAAACAGTCAAAGCAACAAGCAGTTTTACCTGAAATAAAGAACTAGTTTAAAGGTCAGAAGGAAGGAGCGAGTTTTGCGAGAGGCACGGCGGCAGAGCGCGGGGAGTTACAATGACAGTTTTCCTTTCCTTTGCCTTCCTCGCTGCCATTCTGACTCACATAGGGTGCAGCAACCAGCGCCGAGGTCCAGAAAACGGAGGGAGAAGATACAACCGGATTCAACATGGGCAGTGTGCCTACACTTTCATTCTTCCAGAACACGACGGGAACTGTCGTGAGAGTACGACAGACCAGTACAACACAAACGCTCTGCAGAGAGACGCGCCACACGTGGAACCGGATTTCTCTTCCCAGAAACTTCAACATCTGGAGCATGTGATGGAAAATTATACTCAGTGGCTGCAAAAAGTAAGTGATTGCTTTCAGTTTCTAATTGCAGGGAGCCTTTGCCGTCCTTGGTTCTTGCGCCGCTCACTTAGTGAGTTCCACAGGGGGCATTTGTGTGTTTACCTTTGGCTCCCGGGGGGCAGTGTTTGCAAATGCAAAGCTGCTTTCTGGGTTCGACTTCCTGGGCAAGCCAGGGGTTTTAGGCTCCGGCAAACCTGTGACTGTCTGGTGGCACTGCCTTTGTGTGTCTGGCACCGGCGAACTTTCTGACATCCCTGGTTTGCTCTTTTTGAAAACTCGAATATTCTGCCTGTCAAAACCCAACTTAAAAAGAGAGAGCAAGCATGTAGCTGTTGAGCAAGGAAAAAGAAAAAAGAGCAATAATAAGGACAGTCCCTCGTTAGGATCCAATCTATTTTTCATCTGATCAGTTTTTACAGCTGGGATAGGAAATCTTCATACATTTTCTTTCCAACCTTTTGTAAAATTAACATGAAGTGAGAATAAACATAAAGTATAATATTTGGGTGGAGAAATTGTCTATGTAAGTGAAGGGAGCTGTTAATTTCAGCAAGGGGTGAACAGCAGGGGACTGATTTGTCTTCTGTCCTTGAGAAAATATTAAGAAGATGAACTTTAATGTTAACTCACAGGAAAGGGTTGCTTGGCGCCTGTGAGAGGAGAGATGAAGCCGGTTCTGGCTGTTGAGGAAGACATGCACCTGCAGGGTTGGGCTGAACGCAACAGGCAGGCTGTTCTGTCCTCCTGAAGGCTGTTCTGTCCTCCTGAATCATCGCCTTTCTCAGGGCGCAGTAGTTCACAGACACACTGTAGTTACCTGGGGAGTCTGAGGAGCCATGTTACTTGATGACTGTTAATGTCGGGTATGAATTTAATCCCAATTTGTAGACATCAAATAGAATAGTCTACTCAGCTATTTATCTGTTAACCATGTAAGAGTTTTTGTTGAAGGTATGCCCTTTATATTAAGAACACATTTCCGACTCCATTTGTCCTGTAATAGATAACTAGCAGATAACACGTGTATTCCACAGACTCTGCTACTCACTAGCAGGGGGGCAGGGTCCCCATTTGTGAAAAACTTCTTTCCCAAGACCTTTTCTGATGATTCACTTGGTGCTTAGAGGTGGAATGCAGTCAAGTTTCTTTAATTTAGTCTGTTGTCCAGCCAAACCTTTTAGGAAGATAAAAGTTAGAGAAAGGATGTATGGGGTTTTTTTTGTTTCTGTGTGGTCACTCTCTCTGAGGTCTCTGCCTGCTGAATCATGCCAAGTAATAGTTATTCTGCTTTTGTCCACTAGGGACTGAACTAAGATCACTATTTTATGTGACATGTTAACTAGAACTTAGTAGTTCTACAGTTTCCAAAATTGGAAATGTAGTTAGTCTTTCTGTTACAGGCACACAGGTCTGTAACAGGTTAGCAATAAGTAGACAAAAGAATAGAAAGCAGATGAAATCCTGCAATTTTTGGACAACTGTGGCTGAAGTTTTGGGTTCATCTGGTTTTCTTGTTCTTTTGTAAAACCCATTTCCATATTAACAAATGCATTTGGTCAAATAGCTTATTATTTTCTACATACCCTTCATAATAGTTTTTAAAGAGAATTTAATCATTATAAATTAGTCTAGATTCTTTGAGGGGAGTGGGGAGGGAAATTTAGTCCCAAATTGTCCTGAATGAGCTATTCTACCAAAAATGTAAGGTTTTGTTTGTTTAAAACATATAATCAAAATAGTGGTTCAAACATAGTAATGCATATTTTGTGTTGCTATGCAATCATTCAGCAGTGACAGGGTAAACATACAGTTCTGCTAGGCTTAAATCAGGAACATGTTTCATATGTTAATTTATTTTGTAAAATAAATTTGATTCTTGTTTGCATTGTTTTTGGTCAATGATTATGGGGTAGCTTTCAAATTATAGCCAAGAATAACTATTAAAATGTTCTTTCGTTACATTGACCCTTTCGAGTGTGAAAATCAAGCTGAAAATGCCCCAGTTGGTTTGAGTCCCAGCAGTTTGGCTTGACTATTGTCAGTTTAAATTTGCATATCTTTTGTCATCCTTAATGTGATTGGTTGGAGGATCAAGAAACCAAATAAAAGGCTTGCTAAGGTCTCTGTGTAAGTTTCCCTTAATTAGAAGAAATTAGAGTTTTTCTTCATTCCAAGTTCTAAACTTTATGTGATATATTTTGATGATTGAAATGGAAATCATTATACTGTGACCATTTGGTATGCTTAACACTGCAATTTGTGCTACTTGTTGTAGGAAGAAGCAATATACTGCAGAAACTGAGGTTATTGTGTATGTAAGGGAAGTTAATCCACCCATTCATTCTACAAAATAATTAATTTAAGTGCACTGATTATTATGCACCTCATGACATCACTGTCAGGAAAGTTTTTGATGCAGAACAAATGGGTGTTATCAACGCTTGTTGAGGCTAGATGATAATTATGTTAATCCATTCTCTTCCTTGGAGATTGGTTAAGTCTTTTTGATGTTCTTCACGAGGCAATGGCCACCACTAGAAGTGACTTTTCTGTAATTTACACTCTCAAACCTCATTCCTCAGCTTTTCTGTTCGTGCAAGTGAACAGGATGAGAAGTGAGATAGGCAAGCAGCAAATGATTTATGGGTCAACCTAGATGTCGGAACTGTTATGGCGCTGATCTCCTCATCTGATGAACTTAATTCAATTTTCTGTGATAACTAGATGATCCACGTGAGGTAGGTGGAGGGCATCATCCTGACTTGTCAGATAGGGAAGGTGGTCTGTGTAATATGCTAGTACCGTCATTTTACTGGATAAAACACCTGGGTATGTGTCTAGGTTTGACTCTCTTCTTTCATAGAGATCTTCTCAGCATTATTAGCGAGCCGTACCAAATACCTGGAAGTGGTGAGATTTGGGGTAGGCACAAATAAATACAATTGGCCTTTATGTCTTTTCTACTTTCTTAAATCCCATCCTACTTTCCTATGAAGCAGAAATGTATTGACTAACACCCAGCTCAGAACTGCTGTTTTCTGTTTCCCACACCTTAAAAGCTCACAAAGATGTACATTTAAAATATTTAGATTTAAATATATGTGTGTGTGTAAAAAATCCTAGGATTTAAGGAATCCTTAGAAAATATGTTTTGTTTTTGCCAAATGATGCTTTCCTTTGGTTGAAATTATAAATTGAGCCAAAATATGCCCTATAATAGAGAATAAGAGTCTATCTACTAAAAATATTTGATGCTAGTTAAAATTGATGATTAATAGTGGAAAATGTAGTGAATTTCCATCCAAAATAATATTCTAGATTGCATTTAGAGTGAGCACATTGTATCCCATAATTGCAGTAATATACACAGTTATGATCTAATGAAAAATAAAAAACAACAGTTACTACTTTAAAAAGTATTTTAAAAATTAAAAAACTCTTATTGGAGTGTTCAGCTAAGTTTTTCTATTGACAGAAAATTTTGAGTAAGGATATCCTCTGTTCATATCTTATATTCTTTGCTTCAGATAGTTTAGACTTGAGGTGCTATTGTTGGAAACACACTGATATTGATGATTTTTTAACCCATATGTTACGTATATTAAGTATCTACTCAAATGTGACCTCCATGAGGTCAGTCACCCTAAGTATTTGTCCACCACCATATCCCCAGGACCCAGAACACTATATAGCAAATATATAACAGATATTCAAAAATGTTTGTTAAATGGAAAATGGATGCATTGTCTATCTATTGTAAGCTACACCACCTTCTGTTAACACATTATTTGGGGTATACACCTTACTTCCTAAATAGATTGTAGGTTATGATGTAGGCAAGGACTCTACCTCGTGATTATTTTTGTCATAATATGAATTAAAACAACATTAGGTGCAGAAGAGGTGATTGTTAATGATTCAAATTATATTTAGTCCATGATCTAAGATCTTGAAAACTTCTATATGCATTTTGTTTTATCCTCTTAATTATTCTTTAAGGATCAGCTGTGGCCAGTTCCTCCAGGGAATCCACCCACACCCTACTTCGTCTCTCAGGCAGTTCTCTCATGTCACCCTAGTACCATGCTAGCACTGTTCTTTGTAGCTGTGGTGATGGTGGTTTTAAAGTTTTGTCTCTAGGCCTGTTTTCCTACCTAGACGGCGAGTTGCTCAAGTGTCATGAATGTCTCTTATCCGTCTATTTATTTCTGAACATGTTTATTAAGTGTCTGAATAAATATCTGTTATCCTAATAAAAAAAATTTTAAAAATCAGGTTTTATACTCAGCTTATTATATGGAGCTGGATATAAAATAATGTAAATTAAGGGACTTTCTCACTATTTCAGATGCTAGAGTTTACTTAATTGTTAGTGCCATATTTCTTGAGGGTCAGCTATTTCGTCTTCTGTACAATAATTATTTATACTTCCATAAGCACAAGAATTTAGTGTGTTCAGACCGGAAGGGAAGCATTTACCGTATACGTTTGTGGCATACATTTATGTATAATATGTGCTCCTATGTATCTCAGTAACTAGAACTTCTTACCTGTGTATTATCCTTTTGCTGGCTGGAGGGGACAGTGAATACTGTGCCAGACTGGCTCTTCTTGTATCTTATTTTCACTTGTGTGAAATCTGTAGACAGCTAATAAGTATGTTTTTAATAATTTGTCACTAAATTTGAAGAAATATACAATATAACTTATGCATAGAGATTGGGGAAAATGGCACTTGCCAAGAAAGGTTGAAAGGAATAATTGTCTTTCAACTCATGTCCCCATCGATGTCATTTGAAATATACCCTGGTTTTTAAGCCAAATCAAAACCCTTCAGAATCTGTGTTAACTCTTCAACCAAGAGTAAAGTGTCGTTGTTTGCTTATTGTATTTTAGAGTCAAAAGCCCCCCTTCAGTCCCCAAAGCTAGGTTAACATCTCAAATGCTCTTCACTGCTGGATCTCAAGTTGGAAGGCCACGGGGCCAGTAGGGCCTTTGCT